TAATTCCTAAGTCGTGAGTTTCAAATAAATTAAGTTTCTCTGATTTCCCAGTATGGCTTAAATTACTAAGGAGCCCAGGAGTAGAGAAGCAGTCCACATCTCATGTTTTCATCATCGGATTGCACAGACTATTTTCTGATTATGAATCAGAATGAAGGAAGCACGCACAGTCCATATCATTATCACAGACTCCCCGTCCTCCAGCTAGTCTTCGCGTTTATTCATCTTGTGAGGGCTTAAGGTCCAATGTGAGCTGACCCATTTATCTCACACGTCATCCGCTGACACTAGCCCACTGGAAGCCCAGCCAGCCACACTGACTGCTGGGCTCCTCGAAGGCAACACGTTCTCCCCCACCGAGGCCTCCCCAGCCCGCACTGCCTGGCGCACACACATTTGTTCCTCAGGTTTAAGTTTAGATGTCCCCTCTGGAGGGAAGCTTTCTTGGCTGTCCCTTGTGCTGTCTACTTAATCATCCATATTGTAACTTCCGTATGCTTCCGTAACCTCTAGATTTTAAACTCCAAGAGGGCAGGGACCTCGTCTGTTTTCTTCCCCAGTGTCTAGCAGGCTTGTAAAATAGGTCTCAGTATTTCCCAGATAATCAATCTAAGTGGGAGTTATTTGGCAAAGAAGGCACCCCCCCCCCCACATAAGGTCTCAAGATTTCAAAAACCAACCAGAATTTTTCGACTCTCCAGCTGGATATTCCATCTCTTAGCAACGAAACTGTGCCCATCTTAAAACTTTCCCCTTCACTCATTCATCTCTCAGATACAGGATTCTTTCTCAGGCTTTGGTTTGCCATCTTCCCTACAAGGCAAATTCAAAACCTTTTTCCTTCCTGCCCTTCTGTTCCATGGAGATCCCTGTAAGCCCTGCCACTGCAGGTCACAGGTCTCACGAACCTAGGAACCCACTCTGACCTGGCATGCACCTGCCCAGCGACAGCACTGCCCATAGGTTACCCACCCTTGGAGGGCAGACTTGTTGCCATGGAGAGACAGGGGCTGGTAAGCAAAACCAAGCCAGCTTGGAGAGATTAAAAAAAAAAAAAAGCATTGGGTTCCTTTTCACTCATACTTGTCTGCTGGCTTTGCAAAGCTTTATGCAAATGATACAGTACAGAAAATCAACAAGAGAATGTTGCTAACAAGCAGGACATAAAACACAGATTGAAACTAATAGCTCAACAGGAAAAAAATTCGTTCAAATTCAAATAAACGAATCTTATTGTTTACAGTACCATCCATTCCTCTGCACCTGAGCCAAATTACACCAAACAATTCTAGAAAGAATAACTAGCTTTAAGTTTTTCCTGAAGGGATTTTTTTGGTTGTTATGAAATATGTTGAAACATAAAAATAGCAACAAACATAGAATAACAATCACAAATACCCAATAGTGCTTCTGCATCCCAGGCGCTCCACTTACAAACATGCGGGAGGTTAGGACTACTGGAATCCCCATTTTACAGATGAGGAATCTGAGGCACTAAGAGGTTAAGAAACTTCCCCAAGGTCATAAAGTCTAGAAGGGGCAGAACCAAGATTTAACCTCAAGCAGTGTAACTAGATCCATGCCATTAATCACTGGACTACAGTGCCTCACAGCTGACATACAAACCAATATACATAACAGATGAAAGGTTAAAAATAATATGAACAATCACGTACCTGCTACGTAACTAAAGGAACAGAACATTACCAGTAAATATCTTAGAAGCTCATTGTGGGCCCCTTCTCAAGCACATATCCCCCTCTGCCACCTCTCCTCCCAAGGTAGCAATTATCCTGAATTTTGGGTTAACTGTCCTGCTTTTTCGTTATAATTTTATTATCTATATCATATGTCATAGTCAAATGTTGTTAGTTTTCTACTTTCTATAAATAGAATCATAATATGTGCATTCTTCTATGACTTGCTTATTAAACTCAACATTGTGTTATTAAGATTCTTTCCTGCTAAAGAGCACAGCTTTGGTTCATTCCATTTGGGGGCTGTAACATACTCTATTTGTTTAATCCATCCTCTGGCTGGATATGTAGGTTGCTTCCAGTTTTTATAATAAAAACAATTGTGTGCATATCTTTTTGTATGACTTGAATTATACCAGCATCAGAATCACCTGGGTTGTTTGTTAAAACACAGATCCCTGGGTCCTACCACTGGAGTTTTGTTTGGTAGATCTTGGGGTGGGGCCTGAGAATTTGTATTTCTAACGAGTTTTCAGATGATGCTGATCCCATGTGACCGACCCAGTGACCACACTTTTAGAACCACTGCTCCAGAGAACAGACTTAGGAGTGGAGCTTCTGGGTATAGGATGTGCATATGCTGAGCTGTCCTCAGAGTCCTGCTACAAATTCACAAATCCATCTGCAGTTGTTCTACAGGTTTTTAATTATTTGTACTTCTCTGACTGTTGAAGTTGAGTGTTTCTTTCATGTATGTATTGCAGGAAAATATATGAGAAGTGAGGAAGGTGAAACTCCATTATCTTGGCTCCTGTGGTTGTTTTTAAAAAGTCAGCTATCAGTCTAAATTCTTATGTGTCTATTTTGTCTTTCTTTCTGGCTTCTTCTAGTATGTTTTTTGTTTGTTTCGAGTTCTTCAGTTTAATTATTGAATCTCTACTTACAACTTTTTATTTCTTCTGCTTGAGATCTGTTGGGCTTTCTGGATCTGAAGTTTACTATCATTCAGCAATTCTGGACTGGAGCGTGTTCTTTTTCTTCCCATCTTCTGTAACATCTCCTTTTATACAATTATTTTTACAGCATCTTAGGTCATCCTCCTAGTCTCAGTCTCATTTCATATTTTCCCTCTCTTTGTCTCTCTGAGCATATTTTGGATTATTTAGATTACTTTTTCAGTGCACCAGTGTATTTCTTCAACTGCCTCAATCTGTTCAATTCACTGACTTTTTAGTTCCTACTTCTATATTTTTTCATCTCCAGAAATTTCATTCCCTAATTTAAAAAGTCTGTGCAGTCATTTTATAGTCTCTTGTCCTTATACGTATTTTCAAAGCTTCTAAAAACATTTCTGAAGGATGTTAAAATATTTATTTATATTTTTGGCTAATATATCCAGTAATGAAGTATTTACAAGTCGAACTCTGCTATCCTTTGCTTCTGCTGGTTTTACTCAGGGGGACTTATTTCCCTGTGCTCTAAGTGGCAGCTGCCTTTCTCTAGAGGGGCTGGATATTTCTGAGTCAGCGAGGGTTATTCAGGATAGTTAGCTTGCCGTCATGCTGGAAGGAATCCCTACTACAGTCTTTCTCCCCTTTCCCAATGTTTCCGAAAGAAAGTTTCCCAGCAGAGGGGAATCAATGCTGGAAGCATTTGCTATCACTCTTAGGAGCATCACAAATGGGATCAGTCCCACCTCGCAGGATAGGAAGTAACAGTGTGAGGAAGACAGCCTGTTGAAATATCTCACAAATCAAGTTCTGCACCCCTTGTATCTAGGTTTAACTTAAGACGGATTTTCATTTGGCTGTGAAAACACCCCTCCTAAGAAAGGTAGTCCCTTTTGCAGTTTGGTTGCTAAACCGTCCCCAGCAGCTCGTGAATGATGAAAACTGCACGGTTACCATTTAATTCATCCCCAGCGTGGAAGACTGCTTGAGGAACAACCCCGCAATCCTAGAAATGCACAAACCTGTGAGGGTCATCTGGATCACAGTTAGGAAGAAACTGAGTGATGGCTTCTGCCACTTCTTCATTCGATAAAACATCCCAGAGTCCGTCAGTGGCCAAGATCAGCACGTCATCGGCTCCATGCTCATATCTGGAGAGATCGTAGACTCTTACCTGAAAAGAACAGGAATACCCCTGCTTAAGAAGGTGGGAGCATGTGATCCCTCCTGACGGACTGGCTCCTGGGTTCCCTTCTCTCTTCCTGCCCAGCCCAGCGGTTTTTAGCTTTGCACTGTAAGGCACTTGGTGATGCAGTGAGCGTTGTGGCCAGAGGTACCCTTTGGAGACCTGCTATACAGACATAAAGGGCCCCAAACAC